ACGTGAAATTCTATAATATTTTAAAGACCGTCTATACGCGTGTTTGTATTGTATCATAGGGCTATTACTCGAAAACGTTTGTCAATGCGCGTTGACGGAACAAACAATATTCGGTTATGGTGGTAATAGTATTGCTAGTGCAATAATTTAATAGGATTTGTTTTCATTAAATTTATATCTAATTGAAAATATTATTATTCGCCAGCTTCGTTGCGTGTTTTTGCGTATTTTATCTGGAGCAGTGACTTTTTTTTATAAACATTGAACACTATATTGTCGAGGTTAAAAACTAGAATATAATATTAAATTATCAGCTTGGAATAACTATAAAATAATTAATATATTTATTAATTCCTATATAAAACATTTATACAAGTATTACACCTATAAACTAGGTACTATGRTCCATGACATTCAATTTTTATGTGTAAGCGTTGGTATTCACTATATATTTGCTCTTTGAAATAATKTATGTTTCTCTTAAAAGGAACTAGGAACTAAAACTGCATTAAATATAGAATATATTAATATACTATGAAATGCTAATGAGAGGTGAAGTTTCGATTAAACATTAGTACTAATGTATCTCAATTGAAGTCGTCGTGGTTCAATATTTTTAAATATTAAGTTTTTTAGCATAAATGCATAATATAATATATTATGAGTAATTYACTGTACAATATACATATACACTTACACTATTGTGAAGTTAATATAACTAATCCATTAACAAAAGTGTAAAGGCAATTATTGGCATGAGAAATATTCAGACGAAATCCTATGGTCAGATTGGAGAGGGTGGAGATATAAAAATAACAAACAATTTTTGATATTATATAAACAGTTTGTTAGAAATAGGTACCTCTACGTTTTTGACACTCAGTAAAATAAAATCGAAACCGTAAGAACTCAATAATTAGAATAGTACTTTGTAATAAAAGGAATGGTGACACCTTTATAACTAGGCATCTATACATGATATAGTATTAAATAATATACCACCTTACTTAACTAATAATTTTTAAGCACATTTTAGATTCTGAGCGGAGCGAGGAATGTATTGCTTTTACAACGATGTTTATTTCTTTTTCTTTTTTATTCTGTAAACACTTTTTTCCCTCTAAATTTGCTCAAAAGTATCAAGTGCAGAATCTTTTCTGAAAGGTAATGTTCTTGAGCTAGTACCTTAAAAAGGTCATTTTTTTTTTTGAAACAAAAACGGTTAAAAGAGAAAAACTTACGATTTCACGATTTCATAATATTAAATAATTACGGACGACGTTTTCTACCAGAAATATTGCTTCAAATGAAAAGAGATCTTTTTTGTTTTATTTTGGATTTTGTTCCCTATGGTTTAAAGTACAGAAAATTTTGACCATTTTTGAGCTATTTATAGACATTTTAATTTTGGGAGTTTTTTTGTTGTAATTCGGTTAAAAACATTCGTAAAAACTTGAAATTTGGGTTGTTTACTTATATTAGCCTTACCTAGACATGATAAAATTTTCAAAACATTTGAGCGACTTATCAAATCTAAGATTTGAAAAATGTTAATAATTTATAAAATATCCTAGACAGATAAACCATCTCCGCTCAGAATGGTTTTTCGTATACAATGATATAATATCTTCGGGTTCAAATTTAATTCCATCCATTGCAGTAACCCACTTGTAACCTACTGTACAGCAGAGCGAAATCCACGACTCATCCGCTTTTTTAAGTCTATACAGCCCACTGTGTAGACTTATAAATACCGATTTTGATTGTATAAMTCATGCAAAATGTATTTAGCTGACAGTGAAAATAAATAAATACTTACGATATAATAATAAAATATCTGTATCCTATGAATMTAATCAGTTATTTCAAATATTATATTATAACGRTTAAAGTATTAAACCAAAAACTATGTAATACGTCAACAATAATTGTAATGTTTGATTACAGGGCGATTGTTATTGCTCATAATTAAAAGTTAACACCAACACGCTAAATTAAAAATAATTATCAGAATTAATAATAAACACTGAAATAAGGTAAGCATTGTGGAGAAGTGCTATTGGTGTTTAAGTTTTTCAAACTCATAACATTTCATRAAAACAAATATCGTACATGACATTTTAATGCGTATTTCTTAAACACTAAACGTAACTCTGTATCATTATAACTGTTKAGTAGTGATTTCGTGTTATTAGGATAGCGCTAAAATTACTCGACTTGATGTATTGAATAAATTACGATACGCTATCAATACTTTATAATATATTATATCATTTTCACACAATTAATCATCATCAAAAAAAATAAAATTAAAAATACGACGAGTGTTGACAAAGAGTTGACATAAGAGTTCAATGTTCGACGAAAATTGGTTTAGCCTATATTCACATTTTGTTTGAAAACTGTAATAACAAATCAATAAACCCAAAAGATCGTTAACTTATATGCATCAACAGGATTAGGTTCAGATTTTTTTTTTAATCATTTAAATAAATTAAATAAGTACCTATATGGCTATATACTAAACTATAAAAAAAGAAAAAACTGGAAATTAAATAAATRTCATTAGCATTATAATATAATGTTTAAGTTAAAATCTTTCTTAAATCGACAAATTTAAATAATTAATAATCGCTATATTATATTAATAACAAAAATTCAAATTTAATTTTTCAGTGAATAWAATTAGCTATGAATTGGCATGGCAGTTAAAAAAAGAATTACGAAATTCAAATAAATTAAAAATTATAAAAATTACAGTTATGAGATAAAAAAATATGGTTGGCGAGTGAAGTGATCAAGGAGCTAAGTTCTCTAGTAATGAATTAAATAATATAATTATATCAGAACTTTATCCAATTCCAAGCTGGAATGCTGTAATTATATTTTTTCTAAGGTGTTTTTTTACATCCCATATAATAATATTATAAGCTAAGAAAACCCATTCTTCGATTAATTAATTTAATAATTGAAAATTACTATAATGATAATAGTTATAAGACAGCTATAATAATATATTCTATTTATAGTACTTCAGTTTAACCAATAATTATTGTTGTCTAACCTAGAATACATTTTTTTGCATGTACTAAGCATCAATTTCCATTGGTAATAATGAACTCTGCATGCATTTAATTAATTAATAAACATATTATTATTTAACTGCCGTTACTAAACTCAATTCATAATTTAGATAATATTTATAGAAGTAAATAAATAACTTTAATCGTCGAAAATAAACACCTTTTCAAAAAAAAAAAAGAGTAAACGTTTTTTTTTAAATCTGAACTGGGRAGGTATTTGAATTTGTATAAAACGAAATGTCCATTAGTTTAATATTAAATGATCGTCGGTAGTGATAATAGATTGCATATTAAATAAMGATAGTCGAYGAGAATAAATTCATGTGCAAATCGCAAATGGCAAATTAAAAGGTCACAATGAACAAATCGTATTGTTTCATTTTTTTCAACAGTTTCCTGTATGGACGGTATTTAAAATGCATCAACCATAGGTAAATAATTCATATAGGCAAAATGAACTTAAAACCGTTCTCAGAATAACATTGAAACATTGGAAAATTAATATTATAATATAATCATATGTCATTTAAATCTGCACTTATTGATATCGCTGTATCATTGCCTTTAAATCGTTCTCGAAATCAGAACGTTGGATCATTGTCAATAGTCTAATCACACTTGATGTCGATGTCCACATATAAATATTTAAATCAGGTGCAGTAAAATTTGTAGACGATACGTATATACACATTGGAAACGTATTCCGACACGATATTCTATAGGTAGTCGTTTTTCTGTAAAAAAATTGGATAAATCGACGATAATGTTGGTCGTTTCTAAGAGGTTCGTCTGGAACCTGTGTGTGGCGCGCTCGTTACTTACATCATAAAAAGCATTCTATACACTTCCGTATAGGCGAATACGACACGTCGTGTTATACAAACAGAATCGATGTTTTTTTTTTCCGTGAGAGACCAATTATTTTCATAACGCCACAAATGTGAGTGTAAAAGAGCATAGTATTAGCAATACATTGCACTGTTGGTACATCGTAGAGAAATGATCCGTTAACGTTCACACTGCGAGCCAACGATCGTTGTGCGCTTAACAAAATAATATAATATTATATGTGTCAAAATGTGTTCCAATACAAGCGGGTAAACAATATTTTGCATCTGTATACAACTGTAACTACCTCGAGACATATTAAAACACGCTCAACTTGGTTTTTTCAACGAGTGCGCTTTTGTTAACTATACCTACTATTGTACTTACACGCGTTCGAAATGACAACACACGTCATTTTAACTGACCAATAAAACAATCATTCACGCGGGTTTGACGGTTGATGTCGTCAGCGAAATTATTCCTAAATTGATGACCCAAATACAATTTTTCTGCTCTTAATCCATAATGCGCGGTCGTTAATCACCTCCAAGCCTTATGCGTTATAAATATAGACACAAACGGTATAATGTATCCGTCCGTTAATAATAATTATTGTTATCCATTTTTCTCGATTACAGTATCGGACACACTTGAGGTGGCGGCTGCCCAAGTGCACGGCGAATGGGATGCGAGATTATCGTACGAACATATTATCGCACGCTTTGAACGTAATCAACGATTCCCACCGTTGTTAACAAGCAACGAAAATGGGCTTAACCCCGATCAAGTTACCGTACCAGTCAGCCAAAAACCGATTGTTTGGCGTACAACCCCGGATGTCAGCCAGCTTTCAGCAAATACCGACTTTCAACATAAACGACCCGTATAGTCATGATCGACAACCGAGTCGACGAACCAGCAGGCGAAATGGGTTACCTATCAACATGCTCGTCTCCCAGCAAAAGAGGATCAGCAACAGTGAGTACTTACCGATTTGTTTTTTATCGGCAATAAGTTAAAACATCATTTAATTATTTATTAATCTACAAACATTAAATTACAATCTAATTGAGTAGACTCAAGTTAAAAAAAAAAAAACAAAAAACAAATTGAGTAAAGGGGAAAAATAAGATTGGTTCTTTAATATTTAAATAGTACCTACATGATTTTACTAAATATTATTTTAATATTATTATCGCAGCGGTCTTGTATTTAAAACAATGCAACAAAAAGTATAATGCATTAATTAACTTTTCTTTTTAATAACTATATTGTCTCTATTGTCATACAGAGTACTAAGTTATTCTGTTAGCTATGTTTTTAATCATTATTTTGGCATACCTAATGATCACTTTGATGATAAACATATTAATTTTGAAAAGTGACACTATACCAATATATTATTAGATTATCTAAAATTTGTCATATCCTTATTTAACCTAAACTACCACTTTATACTTAAAACATCATAAATATGTTATCTATACAATATCTATTTAAATTGTTTAATGTATAAGTAATATAAAAAATTATTATTCAATTAAATTTACGCACATTTACATATTATTATGTATATACTTTTTGCTATTTAAAAATATATTTTAATATTATCCCATATTGGAATAAGTTTTTTTGCATAAATATATATTACAATTTTTTGTAAATAAATGTGCAATGTTCTTAACCAACTTGAATACTTCTAATCTAGATTACATATTCATATAATATACCTTCAAATTATTTTGTTTTTTATTGCATAATTGTATTCGAACAAAAATAATTTAAAATGTTGTTTATTGTTTTTATTTCAATCAGTCATCACTTAAAACTATAAAACCTATACCAAATAAAAAATGTATATAAAACGAGTCGAGTCGTTAAATCAGGAAGAAAATTCAATAAAACATTAGTTTTTTAATTAAAGGTTATTACCAAATGCGAAAAAATGACCACAAAATCAATAGGCGTAGGTAACCGAGAGAGAGAGCTATTACCTCAATATCAACCGTCACTACGAATCACTGTTGAATAATTCTAGTGCACTAGACCGTAGAGTATTCTTACGGTCCATAATATATTTCAAAATACACCTAGTTTTACGTCATAATATATTTTATAAGTGGACATTATTATTCTTATTAATATTGAAACTTATGCCTATTTCATTACTGTCTATATACATGCAAGTTTGCGGTGAAGAGTTTTTTCCTAATTAGTTTTAGGTCGACCGGCTGTGTCTACAATTCGGTAACATATCACTAGATTTTTGAAAGAGTTCGACAAACTTCTAGAATTACTTRTTTACGATGAGATAATACGTTTAGTAGGTCACCGGGAAATAAAATCGAGAGTACCGCGAGCGTTCGTCAACTGAATGAACGGATCAGCTGGACCCGGTTTATCAACTCTGCCCTATTACATAGCCATCTGTGTGTGTGCAGTGTGCTACATGCCTACATAGTATTGCAGACTGCAGTGTACCTATAATAAAGACTGTTAGCTGGAGGAAGTTTTTAACACTTCATTGTGATATTACATAAGAACTATTGACCGGGAAACGTAGGATAACTGCTGGTCAATCGAATTTAAATTTTAAAACGAGTATTCAAAGGTAGGAGAAAGTAATAAAATTGAGTATAATTATTACCCATGCTTGCATTACGATTATACAAACTCAAGATTGACACACTTCGGTTGAATTAAATATTCATGGATTTTAGAATGATATCGATCGACGTTAGTACTCAAAATTTACATAATTAGGCGACAATTTGTAATAACATCAGATAAAACAAAACAGAGAAATATAATACACGAATATTTTATATGTATATGTGTATCAGTATTATATACTTGTGTAACTCGAAATTTAGCCTATTATGTTTGGTACGCTGTATGATTATTTATAATATTATACTATAATGCATAATATTACGCTATCCCGAGGAATAAAGAATACCTTGTGACATCGGACATTGGTGCTGTTATTAAACGTACTTATTAGACCGAAACAGACAAAACATAAGCCTACGCAATGAGCATTCAACTAGTGAGTTTTAAGATTTCAAGTATCACAATATGAATAATTAAGTACTTACCTATTTATGTTACCAACTGAAATTCCTGGTATTTTTTTTTTTTTTTTAAATAACTGTGTTGACTGTTAGAACCTAAAGTAAATACCTACCAGATTACCCATTAATTATTTCTTTAACTTGAAGAAATCTTAAAACATTCAAATGTCATGTCCAAATCTACGCAAAATATGTAGGATYATAAAATAAATACGTTTGAATCATTATACATAACTATTAATAGCCTATTTTAGTATTTTTGAACCAACATTTACTTATAATCGCTTAAGGTATAATTAAAAAAAATTATATATATTTAATATTTATAAAAAATATCTGGCCATTGCGTTTTCTCATTTTTCGAATGAAAAATATATAGTACATAACGGGAAACCGCAGTAATGATTATATAATAGCCAATACTATAATATAAAAGCCGTATGCTCATAATAAATATAAAAACAACGTTATTGTACTGGTGATTTYTAAAAGAAGTTATAATATGAGTTGCGATACTTTCAAGCTTATTATAGATTACCTACCTAAATATTAGTACTAAATATTTAACTACAATAATTTTGAAATATGTTCACTCTATCTTGTCACTTATTGTAAAATTATAAAAATTTATAATTATTTATACACCTTGTTTGTGGTACTGGTGTTCATTAATCATGACCACGAGATATTATAATCTTCACCGAACCATGGAAGTTATACAATGAATGTATGTCGAAATGTATATGTGGTTTTACGTTGACTATATCATATCATACAATGATAATGAGTAAAAAAAAAATAACAATAATAACATTATTTTGAAATAATTCATAATTATTTGATTGGATTCAAAATCACAGTTAATAATTACACATTTTTTAAAATGTTTTCATTAAATTGTATTAAGGTCACAATAGGATCGATTATTTCTTTTAGTTGTTAATGTAGTTAGATATTATTTTACAATAAATTATAATGTATACATATCAAATTAATAAATATATAATTAT